ACTGCGAGTGATGAGGGAAAGAGCCCCCTGCTCATTCTCATTCTTCCAGCCTGTGCTCTCCATTGAACACACATTGCTTGCTTGTCTCTATGTCCTTTTGCTTTTGCCCATTCTGGATAAGCCTGCATTCTTTCTTGAACACACACTCCCTCTCCTCCCCAAAAAGAAGAAGGAGGAGGAAGAGGAAGAGGATGAGGATGAGGAGGAGGAGGAGGGGGAAGAAGAAGGAGAGGAAGAGGAGGAAGAGGAAGAGAAGGAGGAGGAGGAGGAAGAAGGAGGAGGAGGAGGAAGGAAGAGGAGGAGGAAGAAGAAAGAGGAGGAGAAAGAAGAAGACAATGAAGAGGGAGGAGGAGAAGGAGGAGGAGGAGGAGAAGAAGAAGGAGAAGAAGGAGGAGGAGGAAGAGGAGGAAGAGGAGGAAGAGGAAGAAGAAGAAGAAGAAGAAGAGGAAGAAGAAGGAGAAGAAGGAAGAAGAAGAAGAAGAAGAAGAAGAAGAAGAAGAAGGAAGAAGAAGAAGAAGAAGAAGAAGAAGAAGAAGAAGAAGAAGAAGAAGGAGAAGGAGAAGGAGAAGGAGAAGGAGAAGGAGAAGGAGAAGGAGAAGGAGAAGGAGAAGAAGGAGAAGAAGGAGAAGAAGGAGAAGAAGGAAGAAGAAGAAGAAGAAGAAGAAGAAGAAGAAGAAGAAGAAGAAGAAGAAGAAGAAGAAGAAGAAGCAGCAGCTTCAACTACAACTGGAGAAACAACTTAATGGCTGAGTACAGGCTCTGCATTCAGGAGTCCTGGATTCCAGCCCCAACAACACATCCATGAACACAGAGCCAGGAGTAGCACCTAAGTACCTCTGGGTATGGCTTCAGAGACCACTGATCTGGTGAAGACAGTAGATGCTGACGTGTGGGAGCCTTTGTGCTCCTGCTGCTGCCCACCTCTTCCATCTTACCCTTCCAGAGCTAGAGCCTACACAGAATCATTCACATCCAGCAAGTTCACCTTTCCTGAGTTCCATGAGCATTTCTAGCAAATTGACCAACCTCACAGAGGAACTCGGAGTGTGACAGTGCAACTAGATGGCTGAATTCAGTAGACAGGATTTGGGAAAAGGAAGGGGGGGGCAATTGGGAATGGGTATCCTTACTCATCGGAGGCATCAAAATACACCTTTACATGGCCTTATGAGAATTCTGGAGCTTTAGTAATGATTATTATCATTTGAAAAGTGCTTTTTCACAAGGCTGAAACTTTAACATGTTATTAATCTCTTTTACAAGGGCTTAATGTCTCCAGCATGAAATACACCAATTTAAAAAAAAATACATCAATCTTTACACAGTTTCCTCTAAGGAATTTTTTGTGGATCATTTTAGTGGCTTATTATTATTATTATTCATAATGAGCAATACAAAATAAATTATTTAGGTCCCACTTTGGGGGCAGGTTTTGGAGTTAAGTGTGGAACTATTTGAAATACGGTGCTGAGTAGGTGAAATGGTGGTGGGATTAGTGTTGGAATATTTAAATGTAACAAAATATTGTAAACAACTTTATAAAAATAAAATTAAATTTTAAACAAAAAGTGCTTTTTTTCTTTTTCAGTAGAGCATTGTCCTCCTTGTATTACAAGAAGGCTCTTAGTGGTAACAAACCAACACTGAAAAGGCACAGACATTTCAAACTGCTATTAGGTTTGGTGGGTGCATCCATCAGGAACCCATTGCTGAGGTCCAGGAAAGTGCCACTGAGAGAAATGGCCAGGGCGGAGGGGCTCAGGGTGGTGGTAGTGATGGATGCTGACATTCCTCTACAGAAGCCATACATGGCAATTCCAGAAACTGCAAAGCCACAGACAAGCACTAACCTATCTTGATGGCTTGCATCCAACTGTGATGAGCCTCTGTGCTGAACCCCAGCTCAGCTTGATTAAGCCTGATGATGATGGCAAGGATAGAGAGACTCACATATCTCTGACAAGGATAGTAGTTAGTTGTTGTGTGAGGGGTAAGGACTATGACAGAGTCTTAGGATGAAGGATATCATTCAGAAGTACCTCAAATGATGTAAACAAGCAAAAGCTTGGTGCTTGTTAAAACCATACTGGATGTCTCAGGGGTTAAGGGTGCCTTGTGTGCACCCAACCCTTTTCTGATCCTCAGCACTGCAGTTCCCCAAGTACTCCCGGGGACAATCCCTGAGAACAGAGTAGCTCTGAGCACCACTGGGCATGGACCCCAAACAAATACATACATACATACATACATACACATGCACACATGCTTCTACCTACTCACACACATGCATATACACACATACCCATGCCTATGGCCACATGCCTGCCAGCATGTGCCATGTAAAAAAGTAATGATTTAAGGGAATGATAATCTGGGGCATTTTTCCAAGTGGTGCTTCTTAGAAACTAACTAAACTAAAGGCACCCAAACTAAAGGCACACTCTATTTGGGTAATTCTTTATGTGGGGGGATAGGGTGGGAAAGGGTTTCAGACTATACCTGGCTGTACTCAGGGGCTGCCGCCATTTTGGTATCCAGGAGTCACTTCCTGGCAGTGTTCAAGACCAAGTAGTGCCAGGGATCAAACCAGGTTGGCGATATGCAAAGTAAGTGCCTTAATCCCTGCATTCTCTCTCTACCCCTGGCTACCTACTTGGCTTGGTTGGATTGCTCTTAAATCATGTATCTAATATGCTGGAATGATTCTGATCTGGGCCTTAGAAGTGCTTTCATGTTATCCTCATTGTCTGATAGGAACAAATCATCGTGCTCTGGGACTGCTCTGCTCAACCGTTTTTGCAGTGTGTTTCCCCTCCAAATCTATTAGCCAATCTTTATGAACACACTTTACCATGTGAAGAACGAACAGCCTCTCTGTATTTATTACACATCCACAAATACTGGCACTGTCTCCACCTTCTCCTTTTCTTCTTTTAAGAAAATGACTTCACCAGTGCCCAACCCAGGTCACTGACAGATGCTCAAACCACCACTAAATTAGGGTGTAGGGGAGTGTGCTAGACTGGGTTGTTTTATTCACACCCTGATTCTCTGTGTACTGTTTATGGAAGAAATGTTTTAAGGTCGAGGAGGAAAAGGAAGTTTGTCAAGGGTGTTTAATAGAACTATCTCCCTGCACAAATTTTTGTTTTTTTTGTTTTTGGGCCATACCCAGCAATGCTCAGGGATTACTCTAAGCTTCGAGCTTAGCAATTACTTCTGGAGGTGCATGGGGAACCATATGGGATGCTGGGATCGAATCCAGGTTGGCCTCATGTAAGGCAAGCACTCTACCTACTGTACTATTGCTTTAGCCCCCTGCACAAATTCTAATATTCCAGGGGCTGAAGCTATTGTACAGTGGGCAGGGTGCTTGCCTTGCATGCAGCCAACCAGGGTTCAATTCCTGGTATCCCATATGGTCCCTGAAGCACCACCAAGAGTAATTCCTAAGTGCAGAGCCAGGAGTAAGTCCTGAGCATCACCAGGTGTGGCCTAAAAACAAAAACAGGAAAATCCATTTGTATTCTGAATAACTGATCATGTTGCTTCACTGTCCAGCTGTAGGTGAAAGTTCAAAAAACTTACAGCAGTGTCATTCCAGGCTGGTTGGCAGATGCTGCTAATAGTCTTCCTGTCATTCATCCTCCTCTATTTTTCTAATCAACATACCCTGATTTTGCTCAAGGAAGCAGAATATGCCATCTTTATTTATTTATTTATTTATTTATTGGGTGTTGGGCCACACCCAACAATGCTCTGGGGTTAGTCCTGGCTCTGCACTCAGGAATCACTCCTGGTGGTGCTCGGAGTACCATACAGAATGCTGGGGAAATCAAATCTGGGTTAGTCCCCTAAGAAAACGCAATTTTAACTGCTGACCTTGTAATGAGATCTGGTCCTGTGGCACATCTGTGCAGTGAGATGTAAGTGAAAGTTTCTGGGTGGGGTTTCCTGGAAAACTTTGTAGAAGTTTTAGCAATATTTTCCTTTTGTTCTTTTTAAAATTTGTGCTTGTAATATAGACTCATCCGCCAAGTATCCCTCTTGTGTCTATGAACACGAAGGCAACATGCTACAGACAACAAAGTCGAAGACAGAACGACTGTCGGTTCAGGGAGCCACCTCCTTTCTCTGTCTTTTATGCGAAGTGCCACCAACTAAACAAGGCAGAACAAAGACAATTTGTTCTATTACAACTCGTTCAATTACAATCTACTGTAATAACTGACTGTTCTTTTCAATTAAACACCATCCTGACAGTTAAGGTGGATAATGTGTTAGATAGAAAAATGGAGGCAAATTGGTTTTAGAGTCCTTTAGAACAGCGCTGGCTAAGCTTTCACATGCATATACACCAGTTGGGATCTTTGCTAAAACTGCAGAATCTAATTCTGTAGGTTTGTAGTGGAGCCTAATTCTCTCTTCTCAGGTTTCTGACTTGCACCCAGCAGTGCTAGAAGTTGATTTTTTCAGGGCTCAGGAGACTCTGCAGGGATCGGGGGACCATGCAGGGCTACAGATCAAACCCAGGACTCCCACATAGAAAGCATGTGCTCAGCTCATTGAGCTACATCTCCTGTGTTTCTCAGAAACTTGCAGTGATGGCTGATGTTGGTGGTCCTGAGTCACACTTGGAGCATGTTACATTTGGAAAATGACCATTTTTCGATCAGACTGCTTCTGTGTTATTTCCATTCTGTTTTTCTTTGATATGCTTATTATTGACCTAAAACTGTGCAAAGGATTCTCCGTGCGTTTTCAACCAAAGAAGTGATGGTTTTGGGGCTGAAATGATAGCACAGCAGGTAGGGCATTTGCCTTGCACATGGACCGACCCAGGTTCAATTCCCAGCATCCCATATGGTCCTCCGAGCATGGCCAGGAGTAATTCCTGAGTGCATGAACCAGGAGTAACTCCTGTGCATCACTGGGTGTGACCCAAAAAGCAAAAAAAAAAAAAAAGTGATTTTATTTAGTGATCATTCTTAGAGACAAAACATGGTTTATTTAGTTCATTTTATTTATCAACATTATCTTATCAGATGCATTCAAATAAAGTAAATTCCGAACTTTTGTGGACTTCTTTACTTGCTTTTCTTCCAGTTAAAAAGTTGATAAAGCAGTTAAGGTTTTGATCTTCTAGCCTAAATGAATTCTTTGCAAAAAAAAGTCAAGGTAGCTTTGATCCAAGGAACTGCTTTAGATAATCTGAATCACTCAAATATCCTTCTGACTTTGCACTCAACCTGAAGGTATTAAATGAATCATAAGGAAAATAACTTAGGACGTGAATTCAGAAAGAAATGTTTCTCCTACTGGGTCATATTAGCGTTTTAACAGCTTTGAAATGGATGGTGGAAGGGGAATGTTACTGAGGTGATGGTCAAAAGCAAACTTCCGGGGTTTTCACACCATCTCTCAACACGGTTTAAAGGGAAAGGCAGGCCATAGTTTTCTAGCTGAGCCAGTTTACACAAAAGCTGCTCACTGCATCCTATTGTTATTCTCTTTTCTAGCTATGTACATTAAAAAAAAATACAACAGTGTTAAATACCAGGACAGCTAACAATGGAACATACAGCATGATATTAATAAACCAAAAAAGCTTGGTGGAGCCAAGGACAGACATCAAAGATGGTCTTCCTGAAGGGAAGCGCCTCATGTCCCGTTAGTCTGTGACGGATCTGCACTCCGATGGAAGGCCTTCTGACCGTCGCCACTGCGCCAGACGCTGCTTAAACCATTTCTGCAGGAGCAAAATGGGTATGATTATACTTTTCTGGAAAATAGAAACACCCATTCCCTCTGTGGCACAACTCAGAAGGGGACGAGTAATTGTACTCCTGGGGTTAGCTCTTCTCACTGTGACCTTTCCTGCTTCAGGACCTTTGCACATGCTGTTGCCCATGGATGGAAGATCTATTTTCTTTCTTTATCTGATGCGCTCCCTCTCATGGCAGGTCTGATTAATGGGCCTTCCTTGGCCACTTGGGTTAAAGAGAGGGCATTGCCTAGTTTTGTATTTTGTTACTTCCCTAGAATTTTCACTGTCTACAATTATTTATAAATGCTAGGTTTGCATTTATATTTCCTTCTAAAACGTAAGATCTATAAAAGCTATTGATCTTGTCATCATGACATCCTTAGTCCTTAGAACAAATGCTTAACAGAGTTAATCAATGTTTTCTGAATGAATAAAAGAAATAGGAACATCTCCCTGATGCCCCTAGAGAGATCTCTATAGCTGTGCCTTCTCATCAGTGTGGATTGGTTGAAGCAGTGCCTTCCTTATCAGTAGAGACTGGTAAGTTTTGCTGAGTAAAATGAATAGCTAAGACCAGAGATGTAGTTCAGTGGTGGAAAGAAATGCAGGAGAGAGATGTGGGTTCCATCCTCAGCACCAGAAAAGTAAATAGGGTCCATCCTCAGCACCAGAATAGTAAATAACAAAATTAATAGATAACTGAGGCTTGAATCACCTTACAGCACAACATGGGGGTCCATGTAGTAGGCTGACCCAGTCTCTCATGCTCCAAAGCTGGGTGCATGGCAGGATCAAGCAGGCTGACCACTTACACAGAATCTCCTAGCACTGGGCAACCCACATATTCACAGTCCGTAGAACTGAAAATAGTCACAAAAATGACTGTGGATTTGGGAAAGTAAATCCTAGCTGTAACTGTCTTATACATATTATCATGGGAGGATTCAAATTGTTAGGCCATGGCTGTTTGTATTATGCTACTGAAAGGCTTGGAGACTCTGTCAGACAGAGTTTAAGAGATTCAAGTTGGAGAAAAGACTGCAGTATGAACTGGGCTGGCCTAGATGAAATGGGGGATTTTATTTTTCATGATTTTTCATTTTGAATCTCAATGGAGCAAAGATTTTACCACCGGATCTCACTGTGTCTTGAATATTCTACAACATCACCAAGCATTCTTTGCGGGGGCAGGAGTGGTACCCATCTGGTGGCGTTCAGGGAACCATGGGCAAGTGGGGATGGAACTTGGGGCTCTCATATGCAAAGCATGTGCTCCAGTTTTTTGAACCAGAATTTTTTTTAATTTGGAAAACAACTTTCTAGAGGGAGGAGGAGGAGGAGGAGGAGGAGGAGGAGGAGGGGAAAGAGGAAGAAGAGGAGGAGGAGGAGGAAGAAGAGGAGGAAGAAGAGGAGGAGGAAGAAGAGGAGGAGGAGGAGGAAGAGGAGGAGAAGAAGAGCGGAAGGAGGAAAAGAAAGAGGAGGAAGAAGAAGAGGAGGAGGAAGAAGAGGAGGAGAGGAGAAGGAGGAGAAAGAGGAGGAAGAAGAGGTAGAGGAAGAAGAGGAGGGGGAAGAAGAGGAGGAGAAGGAGGAGAAAGAGGAGGAAGAGGAGGCAGAGGAAGAAGAGGAGGGGGAAGAAGAGAAGGAGGAAGAGGAGGAGGAGGAGAGAAGGAGGAGGAGGAGAAGGAGAAAGAGGAGGAAGAGGAGGCAGAGGAAGCAGCAGCAGCAGCAGCCACAGGTGCAGCCAGGATCTATCCACACGTGAGACAATGAGTCATAGATGTCAGTGGCAAGGTAGGACCCCAAGCTCAGTTCCTCGATGTTTCCCAAACTGTCACGTGTCACGGTGCATTTAGAGAATGATGAGATTTTTAGGTCACTCTGGGGTGCAACAGTGCAGCTACCTGCACTGGGACCACCAGAGGCTCCCAATCCTGGACCCCACCAATAGGCAGCTCAATTGCAACCAACTGCCTGTGAGAATTGAGGGAGTCCCTACAGGTATGTAAATGACCAGGTAAGTTTAGGGTGCCTGACTGTCCCGTTTGGATTTTCTAGGATTCACCCACCCTTTTTTTTAAGGGGAGCAACTGAGAAGACAGAAGGGTGGCAGAAAGAGCTTAGCTGAGGGACACGGGGGCTGAGATGGGTGGGTGAGGGGTGTCTGATCAGAGGCTGGAGGGCTCCGATTGGGCAGGGCTAGATGGCTGCCCAGAGGCAGGTTCAAACAAAGCAGGCTGGAGGGGAAAGTCCACCTTGGCCGAGATCAAGGGAGCTGAAGGACAGTTCTGTGTGAGTCCAGGTTGAGAAGGAAAGGTGAGAACCAATGGGAAGGAGAGCTTCTCGGATCAAGCCAGCTAGGGCTCTGCACCAAAGCTAAGCTGCCTAAACAACCCGGGACCTCACAGACAACTCATCCTAAATGTGCTCTAGTTTATGCCTAGAGATACCTCACACAGCAGTCAAGATCAATTAGCTTCTACCCTTTGTACTGGGGGTGGCAGCAGAGAAAAAGACTCAAAGGCCAGGAACAATAGCGAGGGGGTGTCAGAGAAGCTCCTTGGGGTGAGGGGGGCATTGTTCTCTGGGCATCATTTTATGCCTGGGGACAAGGACAGTTAAGGACAAGGGAGAGTTTTTTCCACTTCGGCAGCTTCTGCTAAAGGATGCATTTATTCCTGCAACATGGTGTGTGTGTGTGTGTGTGTGTGTGTGTGTGTGTGTGTTTGGTTAATTTCTAAGAGATCTGGGGGTGGGGAGAACCTCAGCAGGACTCCCGGTTCATTAATGAGCTCGCTCTGTGGGGAGTTTAAGGCTACAAGGTCTGATTCATCAGGATTTCCAGTGACTAGACTGCATCAATGGCGGAGTTTTAAAAGCTGACTAATTAAAACCTGGAGGAAGAAAGTCTCATTTTCTATCAGGATTCATTTAAGACAAAATGATGGAGCGGGCCTTATTCAGAAGAGCCACCCACAGCTTTCCGCTCATAATGAAGCCGACTATTAATGTACAGTTACTCAAAATAACTTCAGCAAAGAGCACATTTGTGAAACGGTGCCTTGGCATCCAAAGGCTTATTAACAATTTGAACCTGGCATGGGGGCATGGAAGCAGGTTCAAGAAAGGCTCTACTACTTTCCAAGAGATAAATGTTTTTAAGCAAAGTATACAGAGGATAATTCTGCAAACCAGTTGCTAACAAAAATCCATGAAACATAATGCCGGCTTTATTCCCCTTAGAATTGAGCCTCAGCACAACCTGCATCAAATACTAATTTCTACCTGGCTTTATCCTTCTCCTCTTTGGTTCAGTCACCCCCTGGGAAAGACATTCACCCTTTGCCGGCCTATAAATGAACACTCTCATTATCCTCTTCCATTGATGGGGATTTATTTACTCCAAGCGAACAGGTGATCATTAGACTGGGGGGGGGGGGGGGGGGCGGTGCGGAGGCCACCCTTCACTTTGTTTCTATCCTTTTCTCTCGAAGCTAACATCTCACTCACATTATTTTCATGGGGAGACGTCTGGGTGTCTTTATTCCATGGATGAAACATCCAGTAACAAAAAATATTGAGTTCTAGTTAGAATCTCAGGATAGCAAAAAGGGATTTTTTTTTCTTTTTGGGTCACACTCGCCAATACACAGGGGTTACACTGACTTCAAAAATAATAAAAGATGAGAGGGATTGATATGTTCAAAGTTTGATCTAACTTAAATGAGGGGCTGATCTAATTACTCTCATGAGAACCCTACATAGAAATCCAGCAATTTAAGTTCAAATGATTCCCAGAGAAAAGAGAGTGATAGAACAGTAGGTAAGGCCCTTGCCTTGCCTGAGGCTGACCTGGGTTTGATCCCCGGCAGCCCATATGGTCCCTGGAGCACTGCCAGGAGTGATTCCTGAGTGCAGAATCAGGAGTAGCCACTGAGCACTGCCAATGGTGATCCCAAAACCAAAGTAAGTAAATGATAATTTTTTAAAAAAATGTTATTCCTGGGGCCGGAGAGATAGTGCAGCAGGTAAGATGCTTGCCTTGCATGCAGCCAATCTGGATTCCATCCCCAGCATCTTACACAGTCCCCCAAGTACCACTAGGAGTGATTCCTGAGCACAGAACCAGGATTAACCCATGAGCATTGATGGATGCAACCCAGAAAACAAAAAATAAAACTAAATAAAATCAATTCCCATTAGAACATGCTACATCTCACTTCCTGCTCCTCTATGTAAACCGCTGTTTCCCCTTTGATGCACTGATTTTCACCCCAGAGAGAAAGTGTTGCCCTGGCCCCAACCCCAGGAGAGCAGAGAACACTGTTCTTCAGTGGGAATAGTTAGGAAAAGGTCTGCAAATCCCCCCAGTGAATTACCAGTTCCCCGCTTTCAGCCTCTAGTATCCCTGCTGAAGTATCAGCATATGGATCAGTTCTGGCTAAGGACCTCATAAGAACATGACACACTCATTTTTCTTCCCCTAAAGTAGTAGCATTTAGTAGTAGTACTACTAGGAAAAAATAAAGGCTATTCTGGCAATGTTACTCTGGTGAGTAAACTAGGGAAGTGAGATCAGGCTCACAAAAATGACTATTATTTTGGCTTTGGGGACCCTTTCTCAAGGAACAGGCCAACACTAGTAAAGAAGAGGAAGTCCTGATACAGGAAGTTATTTAGAGGTAGGCCCTGCCAACAGTGGCCTCCTGGAGTTAAGGGGCTTCCTCGAGGCTAGCTGTAAATAAGAACCATCTTTATCAATGTCCAAAAGTTCATCTTTCAGCATTGTATCTCCAGAAGACACTTCTGAAGATGTGACTGTAAACAGTTCCAGAAGGTACGATTCTGTCATCAGCACCCAGGGAAGGGCTCAGAGATGGAAGGGGTGAGGTGTTCAAAATGAGACTCATGCAGCAAGGGACAGGAGAGAGCTGAGGTCCCTGTGCTGCGTCTCTAAGCTACAGGGTCTTAGATTCTGCTTGGACAGGAAGCCAGAGGGGCAAGTTGGCCTGTGGCAGCCTCAGGGAGGAAGAAGGTGTTGGCCCCCTGGCAGGAAAAGGAAGCCAAGGCCCAGGCCAGTGTGAGGCTGACTCACCCCCACACCCACTCCTCTCATAGTTGGCACTACCATTCGATCACTTGGGGTGGTAGAGGAGGAGAAGGACTGCCCAAAGGGGCAAGTGACCCCCACTCTGCAGAGGGACAACGGGTCGATCAGTCACTGAAAGCCAGGTCCTTTCCTTCTGCTCCTTCTCTAATTTGAGGGAAAACTGATTAGAACCTGGAATGACTGTCCTTTGATGCACTGATTTTTTTTTCCCCCATAAAGAAAGAAATAAATTGATTTCATTCCTTCTCTTCCACCCAACCAACTATTTCCATTCTCTCCCAGGGGAGACTACCAAACATAGTGGCAAGAGGACTATGTGACGACCTGTGTGGGTTCAGTCCTAGTCCTGCTTCTTCCCAGCCACACCCCTGGGGTGTGCTAGTGAACCTTTCGGTGTTTTGGTTTATCTGGCTAGTGGGGTTAAGAGTACTACCTGGAAATACCAGTAAATGATTTGGTACTTAAGGGTTCTAGGGACAGGCCTGGCAAGTCTGAGCGATTTCAAAGACCAACATAATCTTAGAGACAAGTAAGGGGAGAATGCAATTTATGGGAGACTAACTATGTTGGACCCAAGTTGGCACTGCATCCATGGTAAACCCACAACCTTCTTTCTTTCTCTCTTTCTTCCTTCTTCTCCCTCCCTTCCTCTTTCCCTCCCTCCCCCTTCCTTCCTTCTTCCTTCCTTCTTTCTTTCCTTCCTTCCTTCCTTCCTTCCTTCCTTCCTTCCTTCCTTCAGGACAAGCACCTTAAATCGATTTATTATTGATGTAGCATTGGCTTACAGGCCTATACAAGTTTTAGGGATACAGTTCTCATCCCTTCAAATGTATGTTATCATGCCACTACCAAGGTGCCAGTAACCCAAGTTCATGGAACTGTTTTCACTCTGTCAGTACCAACCTACAGCTTTCTTTTTAAGATGAGTTACTGGGCCAAAGAGATAGTATCAGGTTAAGGTGCTTGCCTTGCATGTGGATGATCCTGGTTCAATCCTTAGCACCACAAACCCCCCCCCCAGCTCAGCCCCTTCAAAATGATCCCTGAACTACTGGGTATAGTTCCCCGCAACCCCCCCAAAATAAAACAAAATAGTGCAAAAGGGAAAGATGAGTTGTTATTGTCTCTGGAACAACCCTTCTAAGTATAGCGTGGGATAGGAAATGACAACATTTCAACAGGCCTCCCTAGGAGGTTCCAAAAGCCATGAGATTTGGGTTCAGTAAATCACCATCCATTAAGTTCTGGTTCTGGTTGGCCAAACAGCTGTTCCCTTTGCTAACAACACACTTGATTTTCCACAGGACTTGATTTTCCACATGACCTGGGAATGAGGGGATTTTCTGTGGACAAATTCTCCCAACTGCTTAATTAGTGAAAGTCATTTCTGACTTGGGATCCAGGGTCTGGGTAACTAGGATCCAGGAAAGCACCCATCTCAGGCTTGAAGTTGGGACTGAAGGTGACTCATTAAAGACAGAAGGCCAGGGATGTAGTTCGGTGCTGCAGCATCAGCCTTGAGTGGATGAGGTCCTGGGTTCAATTCCTAGCACGACTCAAAACCAAAAATGAATGGGTGCATTTTGGAACCAGAGAGATAGTAGAGCAGGTAGGGGGTTTCCCTTACATGGATTTGACCTGGGCTCAGTTCACTCCTGGGCTCTGCTAGGAGTGATCCCTTAGTCCTGAGACAGGAGTAAGCCTGGAGCACTGTGGAGGTGTCGCCCCTCTCCTCCCCCCAAAGAAAAGAACAAAGGACAAAGTTCATGATGAGTCCCTTTCAAATGGGAAGAATTCAGTTCACACTCCCGGTGGTAGGTGTTTTGGGTTAACTCAGAGAGGGATGCTAGAACAGTTCCCAATAGTATCATAAGCAACATTATCTTTCCACTATCAAAGGGAACATAGAAATCGGAGTTCAGACAGGGTTAAGGGAAAAAAGTCACAAGGAGATCGTGGGTAGTGTGCTCTATACTGGAAGTAACGTCGGGGATAATATAGTGGGGAGCCCCGCCCCCTATAAATTAAAAATGGGTAAGGAAGGACTGGAGTGATAGTACAGCCGGTAGGGCTTTTGCCTTGCACGCGGCCGACCCGGGTTCGATTCCCAGCATCCCATATGGTCTCCTGAGCACTGCCAGGAGTGATTCCTGAGTGCAAAGCCAGGAGTAACCCCTGAGCATCGCCAGGTGTGACCCGAAAAGCAAAAAAAAAAAAAATGGGTAAGGAAGCTGGGGGCATGGCTCAAAGGTTTGGAGCTCAGGCACTGCTTGGTCCCCAGAGCACCATTTGAACAGTGAGGCAGGAGCAGTTCCCAGTGTTGATGGGTGTGGCAGTAATAATAACAACAACAACAACAATAATAGGTGCGTTTAAAGAGACACCTGCTGCCGCCCGCTTCAGCTCTAACGTCAGAGGTCTACCTTCTTGGAAAACTCCAGAAAACCACTCAACCTTAGAGCCAGATCTCTTCTGGCTTCCCGTAAGTGTAGCTCCAGCGTCCTGAGTCCAAGCGGCAGCGTGACGCGGGGAAAGAGTCTGCACTCCGCGCGACCCTCCGGGCCTCAGTTTCCTCCTTTCGTCCCACCTGAGCCCTGATCTGCGAGCTGCGTAGGGGTGCGTCCCTTCCAGCCGAGACCTCCCCGCGGCGGGGAGCCTCCCTGCACGGTGCGAGTGGGCCACGCTCGGGGATGCTGGGGGGGGGGGGGGGGAGGGCGCGAGGAGCTGCAGGAGGAAGGTGGGGCAGCAGCCAGGGGGTCGCACGGCGGGGGCCGGGAGAGGGGCTCACCAGCGTCTCCTCCTCGGACAGGCCGGCCTCGGCCGCGATGAGGCACAGCGTAGTGGCGTCCGGGTGCTTGTTGACCTTGCTGAAGTTGTACTCCAGGATCTCCAGCTGGTCCTCCGTGGGGCCGTTCGAGCTCTCTGTCGACATGGTCCCGGCGCGCCTGCAAAGGAGGCCGAGCGGAGAGATGGGGTGCGGCCGGCCGGGCACCCTCGCCGCAGGCGGCCCCGCCCCCAAATCCCCCGGGCGTCTGCTGGAGGCGGCGCTCCCGCTCCCGGGGGTTCCCCTCGGAAACGCCCCAACTTTCTCCCGGAGTCGGCAAGGTCGGGGGTGGAGGACTGCCGCGTCCACTAGCGGCAACAACTGCCTCCGCGGACGCTGCCCCACCCACTCCGCCCCTGGGACCCGGGGACACCGGGACCCACACCCCCAATCAGCTGCAGGTTCGCGCCGCCGGTCTGCTTTTATTTTATTTATTTATTTATTTATTTATTGCTTTTTGGGGGGATCACAACTGGCTCATGCACTCAGGAATTACTCCTTGCGGTGCTCAGGTGACCATATGGGATGCTGGGATTTGAACCCTGGTCGGCCGCGTGCAAGGCAACCGCCCTACCCGCTGTGCTATTGCTCCAGCCCCAGCCGGTCTGCTTTTAAAGGGGCTCAGCACTTAGGGCCCCTGGCCAAGAAGGATGCACGACCCCTCGCAAAGAAACAAGCCCCCCAAGGAGCCGGAGCGGCTTCTTTTGCAGAGAGGTCCGCGGGGGGCGGGGAGTAAGGTGGGGATTTGCCACTGGGCTTTAAAGAGGAGCACCACCCGCAGAAATGCGCCCCCCCCCAGGTGTGGATGTGGGGGTCCCTGGGCAGCTGGCAATACCCGTCGCCCACTCGCGGCCCCCAGCCCCGACCTGCACTCAGACAGAGCAGGCAGTGCGCGGCTTTGAGCTGGCCTGCTGGTCATTGCGCTGCACAGGCCGGGTGGTCAGGCGGTGTCTGGTCCAGGCTCTGTCCACGCGATGCCTCCCCCACCTCGGCGAGGACTTTTGGGGACACACGGCACAGAGAGAGGAGGCACCACCGCCAACGGTCCTTCCAAAACCCCAGACGCCTGCCCTGGGTGATCTTAAACTGACTGAAATCTAGGTAGTGGGTAATTACCAGCTTCAAGGTTTCCTATTGCCTCCTCTGCGAGCCATATGACTTCCTTTTGCAATTGTACCTTTGGCAATTTCCTTTTCATCCCTAGGTAGCTTCTGAGCCAGACTGCGGGAGTGGGGAGGGTGTTGGGGGAGAAGGACTGCGAGGGGTGGACCTAGGTACCCCCCCCTCCAGCCTTATCCCCAACTCCCCGCCCCCGCCCGACCTCCCCTACACACCTCAACTGAGCCCGGGGAGATTAGAGTCTTGTCGAACTTGGCTGTGGATTTGGCACGGACTGGTCAGGACTTGACGCCGGCCGGCAGGAAAAGACAAGCTCTACTTGTTGTTTTAACAAACAGCTGCCAAATCAGCCAGCACCCTGCTGGGAGATTTTGATGTGGTTTGTGCCTGGGAAGAAGCCACACCCCCCACCCCCAAGCTGGCTGCAGGGGGTCCCCTGAGGCTCTTGCCAACTTTTCTACTCTCAGTGCATCCTGTGCACCTTCGATGAAGATCCTTTAACCGCTCCCCAGGGTCACTGAGGCTTCCAGGCAAGACCTGAAACCATCCTAGCCAATGGTTCAAGCCCATTTCTCCGGTCAAGACAAAGTCTCTCTGGGTTTATTTTTATTTATATTAATTTGGGGCTGGGGCCACACCCTGTGGTCAGGGGCTATTTTTCCTCGCTCTGTGCTCAGGGGCGACCCCCAGTGCTGCTCCAGGGTACATAAGGAATTCGAACTAGGGTCCCTGCAGTGCAAAGCAAGTGCCAAAACCAGACTATACTGCCTCTGCAGCCCTCCCAGGGGTGGACTCCACTCGGACCCGGATAGCAGTGATTTCTGCCACCCTGCTGCGACAGTGCGGGCTCAAGTTTGTTAGAAGTGCCTCTCCATTTGTCTGTCATAACAGTCCAGGAGAAGGAACCACATTTTTCAAGCTTTGCTTTGTATAGATTTTACGTTCAGCTCCATTCTCTGCTAGATTCTCTCAGCAGACCAGCCTGTGTTTAGTTTGGTAGGAAGAAAAAAAAATCAGAAGGCAGACAAAAAAAAAGTGCTCAAGCAGTCCTTCTGACTGGACACTGACGGCCTTGGTGGAGGTGGCAGTTCTAGTCAGAGCGGCTTGGGGCACCCTCCTTCTGCTGTGTGTGAGTCTTGCCCCAAAGAACACAGGAGAGTGGAAACGGCAGCCAGTGACTAGCTCAAAGGTCCCCTTCAGTCTGTGGACAGAGCTATGCTGACTCTCACAGAAATCTTCACTTCTCTGTCGAATCCACACTCCTTTAAGAAATACTGGCCTGGGGCTGGGGGCGAAAGTACAGCGGGGAAGGTGTTTGCCTTGCATGAGGCCGACCCAGGTTCAATCCCTAGCATCCCATATGGTCCTCCAAGCACCGCCAGGAGTAATTCTTGAGAGCAGAGCCAGGAGTAACCCCTGAACATCATCGCTGGATGTGACCCAAAAAGAAAAAAAAAAGAAAAAAGAAAAAGAAATACTGACCAGCATTGCTGATGTGCACAGTAGGAGCACCAGAGGCTTCTAGAACACTCATCAAGTGTCCCACTTTCTAAACTAAACTTGGGTTCGAGGACTGTTAGGCACTTGGCTATGACAGAAACCAAAATCTACTAATGCTGTGACACGGTCTCTCAGATTCTTGGGCTTCCTGACGGAGGGCTTTGTCACAGATCTCAAGGGTTAGTCCTGGCGAATTTAGAAGACTCGCTAGCTTTGCTGGCTGAGTTGGCTGCTACGGAGACGTCTTTGAAAGCACCGACTTCTCCAAAGTACACTGAGCAAACAAACTGGGCTTTAGAAACGAGGGGGAAGAGTTTGTCATCCACTCTACCTGTTACTTCCCCCAGCCAACCCCCCTCTGGGTCCCTTCCGCCCTCGTGGGCTGGCATGTTTGCTGCTGTTGCTTGGTTTTTTCCCCCTCTTCCCTACCCTCTCTCTTTCTTTCAGAGGAGACTTATAAACCAAATCTCCCTAGTAACCTCGGCCTTATGAAGCTCCTCAATGCTTTCCAGTAAGGAAACTGTTGAAAGGTTTCTCTGAAGGTAGTCTAAACAATGTTAGATGAAAAGAACTAAAAATAACCAAAAGCTTCTGAAACGTTCACCTTAGCACGAGTTCCTCTGTTGCTGTGCTTATTAATATCTTGTGGAACAGCCAAAGAGCAATTTTTTCCCGTGGTTTTTTTTTGTTTGTTTGTGTCTGGGGAAAGAAAGTGCCTAAACCCTCTTAAGAGGATAGAAAAGCTACAGGTGAAAAGTTAATTTTCAATAGGGGCAGGGAGGAGGTGGTGGTGTCAGTCTGATAGTTTTACCTCTGTTTTCTGATTACGTATCTGGGGGCAGGGAGCAGGGGGCCCAGAAGGTTCAGGGGGTCACTCCTGCGGTACTTGACCAAAGTGCTACATGATTCAGGGTTCAGCCCTGAAGTGTTGGAGACCAAGGATGACACCCAGCAGTGCTGGGTGGGGTTTGGGGGACACTGTGATACTGGGGGCACGTGTTGGCAGGTCTAACTTGGATCTTGAACATGTCAAGCATTAACCTCTGACCCTGTGCTATCCTCCCAACCTCTGATTCTAAGTATCTCTAAGACCGAAGAGATAGCTCAGTGGTCTGGAGTGCAGGATTTGCATGCTGACACCCTGGGTTCAGTCCCCAGTATGGTACTGTCCCCTGAGCACTGTTGGGAGTAACCCTGGAGCACTAAGCCAGGAGTAGACAGACCCTGAGCACCCAAGGGCATGCCCCCACAAACAAAACAGACAAATAAATGAATGAATAAAAATATCTCCTTATTTGAACAATCTTACCAAACATGCTGCCAACTGGCAAGGTGCAAAAATAGCTTACACTGAACTTTGGGCTTACACTGACTATCTTTCCCTCTCCCGGACGCTCTGTCCTCTATGTAACACCATGAACATCAAACCAAGAGATAAAGACAATCCTTGGCAGACATTTCTCAGAAACACTGAGCTGGCCAAAGTGAGAAGAACCTGATGGACACTTCTTTAGAAGGTGATGTTTGATCGCCCTCAAAGTTCTTAAATTCCCCAGTGAGAAAAAATTGTTAAAGTTCAAGAGAGCATTTATGAAGACCATTTATGTACTAGAACTAAAAGCAGACAGCCAGGTATGGCACGCAACTGGTAGAGCACACACCTGGCAAGTGTGAGGTTCTGGTTTAGATTCCTGGCTCTGTCTGCAGCTCACAGAGCTGCTAGGAGCACTCCTGGTGATAAGCACAGCTGGGAGTGGCCCCATAACAATAGCAGCAACTTAGAAAAGAAAATGAAGTCAGGGACAGAGAGCACCATGTACTGAATGCTGGCTCTGCATCCAGGAGGACTGGGTTCCATTTCTACACTGCACTCTACCCCTGCGTAGAACCAACACAGAGCTAGCAGGTGCCCCTGAGCACTGTTGTGTGTGGTCCCAAAACCAAAGAAAGGGGTGGAGGAAGGAAGAACTTCAAATGAACTCCAGACTACGAATACACGATGTTTATATGACATCATTGCCCTCAAGGAAGCAAGATGGCATCACATCTAAAGAGGAAAATACTTTTGTGTGTGAAGCAAAACAGTTTTATGAAAAATTTAGGTAGGAGAAAGAAGAAAGAATTCTGCTGTTTATTCTCCTTGCAGTACAGGCAGTTTGGGATGTCACAACTATCCGGAAGGACTCAATTCTTCATGTAAATTCTCCTTTTGCTCTCTTGATGACAGAAAAACCTATTTGGATTTGAGCTCCCCATTTGGGTCATCAACTCTCACTTTAGTTGAGCTAATTGTTGGAGAAGACATCTCCTAGGTGGCATATTTTGTGAGAACAGTTTCTACAGTCATCCACTGGGTTACAGTGTCATTTTTATGATTCTGGAATGGCTAAGCAAGGCAGTTGAAAACAGAACCATTAATAAAGAAAAACATACAAATGCCAGGGGTTGAAGAGAACAGTGCAGGGGCCAAAGTGCAGGCAGCCAAGACTGGTTCAATCCCAG